AAAAAAAGCCATGTTTGAATTAATCACTGTACATTCCTTAACATTGTTACTGTTTTGTAGGATTTAACAATTAATGGCTTCCAGATAACAAATATATATTCTGCAAAAAATGAATTTAAATTTTAGAAGTGATATTGCTCAAACAGCCATGGGCAGAGATTAACTAATCAGATTAACTCAATTACTCTGTAATTTTGACAAAAAAATAAATAATTAGGACCATTTTTCAAAATGTTATACTCTTACATGCAACATAATGTGAGTAACTTCACTGAATGAAGAACACATTTTAATACACAAAAAATTTAAACACGATACACAGATAAAAGTTGTTTATGTTAGGTTTCCTCTAACCTTAATTTGTTGTCTTGTATTAAAATGTTTCCTTTTTGGTTTTAAAATACCTAACAGTGCACATAACTTCATTTTTATTAATGTCTGCTTAAATAAATGGGTAATATTACATTGCACGTTATAATCAGTAAAACAGTACTTAATAATAGCCATTTCACAAAATACTTTGTTACTTTTAAATGTGTAGTTTGCTGCACAGTTACTAAAAATACATTGAAATACATTGAAAATACCCAGAGATGTACTCATCTCTGGGTACTATGATGGCAGCTGATAGCTTATAAAGAAAGCTGTTAGTTTATAAAAAATATTAGACTTTCCAGAAATTGAACATTGGTGTACAAAAACATATTTTAAAAAATATTAACCTTAAAAAATAAAATAAAATAAAAACACGAGAGAACTGATAAGTGTGTAAAAAAAAAACATTCATTAGTGTATTTTTCCATACCGTTATGTTGAACCACAGCAGTTCTTGCAATGTGGTTCTTAACCTTGTAAGACTCATCCGCACTGTATGAGCAAAGGGGACAGTAGTACTTGTTGTTCATGCAGTACGGAACAATTTTAGCTCCGATCCCAGTGTTACAAATTGATACGTGCATCTGTGAAATTTAAATAAAAAAACAAATTTTGAGCATAAAATACATTTTTCAATTATACATTTTCTACTTTTAGATTTTTATCTAACGGTGGCCTGCACGAAATAATTAGCTATGCTACATGCTAAAATTAGCCTTCCCGAACTACGAATTTCACTCGTTTACAGCTGTCAATTATATTTTCTAACTAATCTAGAAAAGCGTATTGATTTACTCTGTAAAAAAAGATTTAATACGGTAGAAAGTACCTTTTGCTGACTTCCTGGTTTTTGCATTGTGGATCGCGTGGCAAATGTCAGTGGTGAAACCTCTCAAACTTCTTACCCCGCTTCTTTAAGGTATTTATACTAGTGACTGTGAAAATAGCGCCCCCTTCATTTCCGGAATGTAATAGTCCAATTTCCATATAAGGTATGAGACTGACAGTGGTCCGTCACCGCCCCTTTCCGCAGGCTGCAGCGAAGACCCTCTCACGGAGCGGCCAATGCGGGGTCTACTCTTATATTATGTCTATGGATTACGTTCTGAACACAGGAAGTCCAGGGAGCATGCGCAGTAACTTCTTCTTCCTCTTTTTTATGGCGGTTGGCAAACAACATTATGTGCATTAGCGCCACCTTCCAGATTG